TCTATCTATCTATCTATCTATCTATCTATGTGTGTGTGTGTGTGTGTGTGTATGTCTTACCTGAGGGTCTTGTTTGTGGGAAGACTGAAGATACTTGTACGAGGCACATACTTTTTTTTTTTTGGAAGGGGGGGAGGCATTTTCGAAAGTTGATACCCTATATTCGTAGCATAATGCACGTGCGTTGAATAGGAATACAACGCACCCCGTGCGTTCTATTCGTACATAACGCACATGCTCTGGCAACCAGATAAAAAATCAGAGGGAGAAAATAAAAACTTCCAGCGACCAACAAGAGGTAGTGAATGTTGGGGATATGAACCTATATATAAATGGATACCCGCCCTAGGGTGCGAGACCATTAAACCACCAACATCAGCAATCGGCCAATCTAATGTTGGCCGACGGCGAGAGTCTGAGGTATCAAGGAGACCTCGCACCAGGCAGACCTCTGTAGTGACACTATTCGTCTAGAAAATGCTTTAGATCAAAAGAAGTGGAAGCTCAAACCCAAAATTCAAACCTCCAATATAGAATCTCAACACGAGCCAACCCGTTGTTCTCACAGATACCAAGATATCCCGTAAGGTCAGGTTTGGTAGGAAACTAAAGTTCGGCAATGGACTACCTCGGCAAGAACCCTCAAGCGAGGGATTTTTTTATTGGACCAACAGGAAGATTGGAAGATGTAGTGCCGAACATATCACGTGATAATATCTCGTTATGTTACAACTCTTTCTTTTCGATTCTTAGAAGGTAAGGCGAGAAGATGCAACATCGGGCTTTGGGGTTGGAACACTTACCGAGAGGTAACGAGCTTGTTGTTTTTTAGGGTGATGTTGGAAATAAGTAAGTACACCAAGTAAGACTTTTTTTCGTATCTCCATGTGATTCGTATGATCGCTCTCCGTTGAAACAAGATAGAATGGGGTTGGAACATTTACTGAGAGGTAACGAGCTTGTTGTTTTTTAGGGTGATGTTGGAAATAAGTAAGTACACCAAGTAAGATTTTTTTTCGTATCTCCATGTGATTCGTATGATCGCTCTCCGTTGAAACAAGATATGATGGTCACAAGACAACAACAAGGTGAGGGCGCGTCAAGAAGGGGTGGAGAATCTCAAGGGGTCGCGACCGAGGGTTCGTAGACTTCGGTCGCAAGCTCAAACCTATCTCAAGGCGGGGATAGACAAATGGTATTTTCATCAAAACCAGGTGCAAAGATGATTCGAGACAACAGGAAGGTAACAATAGGGAGACAACAGACATGAAGGTTATAAAAAAAAACTTATTTCATTGTATGCATTCTAATTAACGGGGTGACCCAGGTTTTGCCCTAACTATCCCCCCAAACAATAATTTCTTTTCACTGTTCGGTGATTGAGGACCTATCTTACCTAGCGCTATCCTTTCAGTCGCAAAGCAAAGTTTTTGTGAATTGATCTCTTTGCGGCTAGTACGGAAAATCGTTGTCGAGCGCATCAGCTCCCGCTTTTTAAAAAAAGTTTTTGCCTAGCCGAATAAAAATGACCATAGATTAAAACTTAGAGTCCATGTTTTTGGACCGACAACCATTTTCGTGAGTTACCGATGACTTTTGCTTAAATTAACTCATTCTAGTACTTTCAAAATCACTCTTCCAAAGGGTCATTGCTTCTTATGGCCTGACCCATCACTATAGGTAGTGCCTAAATGCACTCCGTCCGGTCAAGTAAATACACGAACTGGGTTTCTTTTGGCGTAAGTTCCCCATACGATGATGGCTCATAAAACGATCACAAAAAAAAATGTTAATTTTAGTCTTCTTCTCGCTTGGGAGCACGAGGGAATGATGTCCACTCTTAGTTGTAGAACACCCT